TTTACAGTAGGTACTCCTGCATATTGAAAAGCACAAACAAGTGTTAAAGTAATGATTTAGCACATTTTAAGTAACGTTGGTAAAGGATATTGAAAAATAACGAAAATGGCAGAATTAGCTGAAAGTTTAAAAGTAGTACGCGATAAAATTGCTATTGCTTGTTCTAAGAGACCATTAGTATGTAACATACATTTTATAATTTTAGAAGGCAATAATTAATTTACAAATATATAAATGTATTGTATACATTATGTAAAAGTATAAACTTTTTAAAATAGTAATAATTTGTATTCTTAACCTCTTTTTCACAGGAATACAAATATTTTGAACCACGTTTAGTAGCTGTAAGTAAATTACAACCACCTGAATTAATTTTAGAAGCTTACAAAGCTGGTCAAAGACATTTTGGAGAAAATTATGTTAATGAATTAGTAGAAAAAGGAAATCATGTACAGATTTTGGAAAAATGTATAGATATACATTGGCATTTCATTGGTCACCTTCAACGTAATAAAGTAAACAAGATATTAAATGTTCCAAATTTATATATTATTGAAACAGTAGACAATGAGAAACTTGCATTAACATTAAATACCTCTTGGCCTAAGTTTAGAAAATATGATGATTTAAAGTTGAAAGTGATGGTGCAGGTTAATACTAGCAATGAAGAAGGTATACTCAGTGATTCCACTAATTGGGCCAAGATATTACTTTGTTCTAGAAAAAAATGTGGAAAAAATTTTTCCAGATTTAGGTGAATTTCACCTTTGCACTTGTATATTTTCCCAATGTTGTTTTTATCCTTTGCAAAAAGTATTAGAGTATTCAACATTTTCTCAGAATTGTAAAAGTTAATTTTACTTTAAATTAATTTTAAGTGTAAATTATTACATCTTACATTTTTAGGTTTTCTATTGAAATGCATTTTTAACATTAATAAAAAGAGTTATTTTAATTAAAAATTGCAAATGTTATAATAACACTAAAGTAGTACATATGAAATTCTATGTCTAAAAGCAATGACACATCAAACTAATTAGATGAATGTAAAATTAAAACAATTATTAAGTTATTAATTATTGAATATGACTACCTCTACAAATACTTATAGGCAATGAAAAATTATGATGGCTAATGCACCTATTAGAATGTAATTATATTAAAAAAATATATTGGTCAAAAAATGATGTAAGAGGAATTAAATTAGGAATTTTATTACTTTTCATATTGAATTGTATATTTTGCACAAAAAATGATATATTGAAGATTATGAAGTAGAGAATATAACTACCTATAGTTTAATTCTAACTTTTGTACAGAGTTTGTAAGTGGTCAATGAAGATGATAAGTTTAATACATTCGGAGAAAATAGTAAAATAATTAAACAAAGTAAAGATAAAAATTTAAGGCTTTCACGGACCAGTATCACACAGTTGTTATTATTGACGCTTCTGGGTGTAAACCATGACCTTACGGAAGAAATATTCCGACGTTTCGTAAGCATTGCAACTCATTTCATCAGGGTTCGAATAATACATCGATACAGTATTATTAGTAATAATAGTAATAACTGTGTAAAGACAATAACCTTTCAAATGATAGAATAATTCCATTAAATTTGACACCCATGAACTCTAATTGTGTTGTTACGTATCAGTTAAATTATACACAAAAATACATTTTATCACATTGTGATATTCTACTACATAAAGCTGTACTAATGAAAATACAATCATTACAAGACTTTTTATCTATAATTTAAATTACATTGTGCCAAAATTAACAACTGACCAGATATTTTTAGCACTAGTATGTATCATTCATTCCTAAAAAGTTAAGATAAGTAAATTTTTATTCTGTAAGTACTTTCTATTTTTATTTACATCAAAGTTATAACTTGGTGCAATTACTAGAATACTACATTACTAGAATATTTTCAACAATTAATACATTTAGACTACTATTGCATCAGTACTGTATATAAATTTTTAATTAATTTACGTTTTCAGACAAAAATGGTTGTGAAATGACACATGTTTCTTCTCTCGTAAAATATATTATTGATAACTGTAAAAATTTGGAATTTATAGGCCTTATGACAATAGGCATGTTTGGATATGATATCACTAAAGGACCAAATCCTGATTTTTTGTGTTTGAAAGAATGCAAAGAGAAAGTTTCCAAAGAATTAACTATTGATTCAAAAAAAATTGAATTATCAATGGGAATGTCAAATGATTATGAACATGCGGTAATCTTAGTAGAGAATGTTTTCATATTCTTTTTTTTTTTTTAGTATCAAATATGTTACAAAATTTAAATTAATTTGGTATAGGTGGAGTTAGGGAGTACCAATGTTAGAGTGGGTAGTGCGATTTTTGGAGAAAGACCAAAAAAGGGTACTCAATAAATTATGCGTGAAAATTAACAAAGCAAAAATTAGACCACAGACGAGGTATAAAATAGACCTATTACCTTATGGGACTTCGTGTCTCATGTTCTGAAATACCGATCGTGTAAAAAATCAGAGGTTTTATTATACCTTCTTAAATTTAGAGCGGTGAGTTTAGGGATTATATTCAATTCAACCATCAAAGATAGAAAAGTCAACAGATGCAAAAGATTCTCTTTTATTATATCCGCACGTAAATACATAATGTTCAGCTTCAATTATGATGCAATCTGAAATACTATCAGCAAGATGGAGCATCGGCTCATAACGCTCGAGTTGTAACAAGATATTTAACAGAAACCTATGAAGAAAAATGATTTGTAATTGTTTAAATGTGAGTGCTGAACAGTTAAACAATGTAATGAAAAATGTCAAGAAACGTATGAAAAAATGTTTCGAATGTAATGGTGAAACGTTTGAATACTTGCTGTAAATTTTTGAAAAAAGTGAAATATCTCGTAGAGTATTGAGTTTTCAATGACTTTACCTTATACCTTTTATTCACAGAATTATTCAAAGAGTCACTTTATGTAAAAAAAATTTATGTATTATTCGAAACATGTACACCCGTTTATGTAGTCTAAAAATCCTTCTTTTTTTTCTTTCTGAAAATCTGATAAAAAATATGAAATGAAAGGATGATATGAATATGAAAGGAACAAGGACATTTCTTTTGCGTCTTTGCAACTTAATGAAAATTTGTTGCGTATTGTATACATATGTAAAACCGTAATATGTAATTGGTATACTAAAAAACAAAAAAATGATCAAGAAAGTTATTTTAATATTACAAAAACTGTATAGTATGTCTAAAACATACTAGTCAGCTATACTATTTGTTACCATTTAGAATAAATTTATTTGTTTGTATACTAATTACTTTAATAGGTCACTTGTGGCATGCGCTATTACTTGTGTATCAATTACACGATCATGAGCTAAATTTAGTTAACTATCATCAACATATATTTGGAATCGTGCCAACTTTAAAACGGAAGGGCGTTCGAATGCATCATATAAAATAAATTCCCATTATATGTATATTGTATATTACGATTGAAACATTCATTTTAATTAAAATAATTGTATTATTCTTACGAATCTAATTTTAAACACAACGGAATAACAAATGTAATACTGTACAGAACATATAAAAAATATATATAATACATAAAAAATTCAGTACTTAATTTTTTACAAGAAATACGTATTCCCACATACAAAGCAATAAACAATTACGTCTTACCCACTGACAAACATTTTTTTATTTTGCTTACAGACATACGAAATGTAAGAACACAATATAATTGATGTATGCGTATATAAAAACGTATTAATGCATTATTCTAAATTAGTCAGTAATGTAAAAATATTTTAAGCTAAAAAAATTTTGAAAAAAAGAAATATATATTTAAAGTTACGCACTTATCTAAAATACGATTTTACATTGATGTTTATGGTAGGTTAAAAATTAGTAGCACCATTGTAGTGTTTTAAAATATTTTTATTATATGAACAATAATATGCAGATTCAAAGCCTCGTTTTTCGACAGCTATGCTATTTTCCACTTCCAAGAATCAAAGTTCGACGATCTTGCAGTTTAGCTCTTTAAAATAACTTCCTTTAAGAAACAATTGTATCAAGAAATAAAGACAACGAAACTATTATACATGTATTTGCTTTTCGCTCTTTTTCAAACTTTTCATCGCGTGGGAGCTGATTAAGCACACCTGACGCCAATACAAGACTTCGCTTTCAATGAACAGAAATTGAACAAAAATTTTTAATGCTGAAAATCACTTAAAGTTATTCCTCTTCTTCATCACCCGTACCAGTCAACATTGCGATAAGACTTTGTGTATCAATGAAACCTTTGTCATCAATGTACATATTATCATAGGCATCATCGACTTCCTTCGCAGAAAATTTGTCACCGTATGTCATTAAAGCGTGCCTCAATCTATGACAGAAAAAGAAACAATTTTCATGCTAATAACAAAAAAAAAAAACTATTGTAGTCGTTTTCTAAGATATTTATCTACGTTGAAAATTATTGTAGTCGTTTTCTAAGATATTTATCTACGTTGAAAATATAAAGAAAATTGTATGAAAAATCAAGAAATCTGATTATATTTGAATTTTATATAAAATATGAAATTTCTAAATTTTGTATAGTTATACGCATATAAGCATTATATTAGATTATTTCATTTTCATTTTATTACCTTTCACCATCAATTTTACCGTTGTCATCGAAGGTATTGAAGGCAGCAATTACGACTTCATCGTCATCGGTACCTGAAATTACGATCGTAAATTAAAATGAATTTAATACATTCTGTAATATTGATGAAGATTATATAAATTAATCATGTGTATGAAATTATTTCAATAATACGTGTCCTTATAAAAGAATGGATGATAGTCGTTACGGAATAATCCATTACACCATAAGAATATTGAATTAAATACCTGATCCCGCCATGCGAGTTGCAAACAGATTTAGCAATTGAGTAAAGTTGATGGGTGCAGGAGCTTCGTTTAACATTTCGTCAAGTTCTTTATCAGTAACAAGACGACCAACAGAATCGAATGTCGCGCGGAGGTCATTCTTTCCGATTACACCATCCTTGTCTGCGTCCATAAGTTGGAATGCCTAAAGGATACGAGAGACAATTAAAAATAATGTGTATTTATTTAAATGCCGATATAATTACAACCTTATAACTTAGTTCTTAAGTGATTAATTCTAATTTTGCATTTATATTCTAATAAAATAATATAAACATTTTTCGTTTAATTCTATCATATTAATATATGACAATTCGTCATATAGTAATGAATAATTATTTTACGTTCTAAATAAGTTAACCGTACATATACCGTTACAATATGATTAAAATACCCATTTTGTCGTACCTCTTTAAATTCGGCAACTTGTTTCTGAGTGAACATAGAAAACACACTGGATCCAGAGCGTTTAGCTTTGCGGCTACCACGACTACTTGCTCTAGTTGAACCAGATTCTTTGGGTGTACCGGTAGGGGTTGGTGGCTTTTCTTCTGCTGGAGGTGGTGCTGGTTCAGGTTCTGGTGGTGGAGCAGCTGCCGCTGGCTCCTCCTTCTTTTTGGTCTTCTTTTTCTTTTCTTTATCCGCCTAAAATTCATCATTAATATTCACAGAACACGAACGAAAATCAAAGCCAACCTTACATTCACATTCCCTTTCTTCTTTTTTTTTTTTTTGCGATATATGATTTCTTTAGAAATCAGAAATTACAATTTATTTGTAAACTACAACATTTATAAAATACAGAACTTAGTTGCTCAATATTCGAATTCACAGGGATAAAGCTTCCTTAGGTAATATTTTACGGAAGTACCTAGTTTTGCTAATTCTTTCTTTCGTGCATTCTTTCGTTGTTAATTCTTTAATTATGCAGAATATGGAATGTTTTGAGTAAATATTGTCGCATTAAACGGGCATATGTAAAGAGATACAAATATTTGAACTTAAAAAAAGGTAGAAGGTACCTTTGGTATCTTTGGTATTCCCCTAATGTCATTTAAGACGCCCCAATAAACCGTAAAAACTACAGTAAGAATTTCTTCACTATTTTTAATAGTTTCGAAGTAAACAACTTACAACTTAACAACAGTTGTACAACTTCTGATCTAAATTGAATAAAATAATTGACATGAAGAAGAAGAAAAAATGATACGAAACCTAACATAATTTCACGAATAACGAGAAGTACATTTTTCCAAAAGATTGGAAACTACTTTGCTATCAATCTTGCTATGAATTTTAGCATAGGCAGATTTGAACAAAAGTATTCTTTGAAAAATGTCAAATGTTGCTAATTTACTTCTGAAAATCATTACGAACCGTCCAACGCACAATAGTTCCGAACTTTTAATTGATTGTGTTTACATGTATTTAGTTGTCGTTATGAAATATTGAATTTAGAAGACTATTTTCTCAAAGAAATGTCTCAAAAGTTATACTGTATTACGTAAAAATTGACATAATGCTTTCATAAAACTGTATAATAAAAATAAATGTTTCAGCCTTCTCAAATACCGTATGAACAACGAAAAAAAAAAAAAAATAACATGTGAAAGGTGTCACAGTTGCAATAATTGTATAATAAAAATCTATTATGCCAGTTATTATTTAATATTCAGCCGACAGTTAGGTAAATTAGATATAGTAAGGCGGAAAAATTTTTGTAAAGCGTTGCTCATAGAAGTTAAAAATAGGATCATTCTTTCGTCCATAGTATAGTTGAAAAGAAGCCAAGACATATATAGACCGTTTATTCCGTACAGCCTCTCAAGTTACTACAGTTACGTAATTCTCTTAGTTTTATAATATACACATATATATCTAACGAATACACGGAAGTGAAACGTGTGAATTGTAAAGTAAATTGAATCGAACATAAAAGTACTTTTTACAAAAATAATTACAACAAAATGTTAGCTTACATTGTGTACCTGTGTGCAATTTATCAATTTAGGTGCATGATTAACTTCGAATTTCGTCGAATTAATAGTTCGATCGAAAATTTCCGGGGCTAGAAAAATTGCCCAGTGTTTTGTAAAAATCTGAGAGTACGTGTTAAAAACTGGAATGCACAGGGGGTGAAACAAAGTAAATAATGCCGAACTATAGAATGGCTAACAGCCAAAAATTGAACGAAGATCACTGTTTACACTCCGTTAACACAATCTGTGATGTCTTTGGTGTAAGTTTGCATTCTGATTAATTCATCACTTTGGCATATTACTTTAAATACAGTTCATGTAATATTTCGTTGTTTCTGCAAAATTTAACGTTGTACAATTTACTCTTTCACCACTAATCACATGTATGACATATACATATGTATAGATACATATATTTATAACATTACGTTTCTCTCTCGCTATATTTCACTATTTAAGAGAAAATTTAACGAAGAAAACTTTTCCGCGTATTTCCCGATGATCTGAATCCAAAATCACACATATCTCGGTACGTTCGCACTTACTTACCATGTCTACAGTTGGTTTGTAACAGGATGGTACGAGATGGTCACAACCGAACCAACTGTCCGAATCATAGAGGTGAACTTATCTAAGTAACTTTGGTAGATCTCCCCCACTACATTCCTGATGCTTGAGCAGGGGTGTCTTGCCCGGGTATAACGCCAACGCCTATCTGACCATATTTAGTGTGAGCTACCTCAAAATAGCGACCCTTTCGATGTTTCGACTAAAACAGTTTGTCGGGGATTGTGCGAACGACCAAGTCTCTCGCGGGCATTTTTTCGCAGCTGAGATTTACTTTTCAGAGGAATAATACGGGTCCAAGGATGTTTCGTTTAAATGATTATGGTCGGTGGGTCTATCGGGGTCTTGTGCTTCCTGTGATACACACGCGAAACAACGAGCCAGCATCTTCCATTTGCGGTCATCGCTACGAAAGCAATATACATTGCGCTAATATGATTTAGAATAAGGAACGCGGTGAAAAGTTGTTTGAAATACTTTCGACTGATAATTTCAATTATCTTCTAAATCGTTTACATACACACGCGCGAGAAAAACTTGCGAAATATCGATCTTCGTTCGTGAATTTATAACGAAACATTTTGACGTGAAAATTTAATAAAATTGAATTCTAAATTTTTTTACGGATATTGTTACACGTGTATTATAAAGTACATAAGAAAAGAGCATCAGCGATAATCGAATTTTAAAGGTATAAAATAACAATAATAATAATAATGATGACATTAATAATTATAATAATAATAAAATGACGATGATGATAATTTGAAAAAGTAAGAATAAGAATCGTAATAATAACAAAATTATAATAATAACGTATAGTATAATAATAAATGATAATTTTATATAAAGTATGATGGTATCATGAAAATTTTAGTAGTTGTTCATTCTACATTTAACATAATTCCCAATTTGTGCACCAGAATGCCCAAAGCACGTGGTTACTATAAATAAGTGACCGATATTTGAGAGCGGAAAACAGTGCGTTCTGTACATATAATTAAATTATCAGTGTATTTTATTTTTATTTTCCACTATATATATATCTAACAAACTTAAATAATTAACACTTCCATTAATCGAAGTTAATTTATAAAACAGCATACAATAAATGTTGAACTGCTAATTCCGTTATTTGCAGCTACGTAACTCTTTCCATTTCCACATACGAAACAAGGAAATTTTACTCCTTCTATATCAATGATTAATTCAAATTTTCTTACATTTAAAAAAAAAGAAATAGTTTTATAGTAAAAGAACTAAAACAAATTTTATCATTATATGATATGTAAAAACTTTATGTTAATTGAGACTTAAGTGAGACGAAGAAAATTATCGTATATTAAAAAATTAATATCAAAGAAAAGATCAATCATTATATAATGTTGTAGGTAAAAAGAAACAATATATCGCTTGTAAGAAGAATAAAACTTGCCTGAAGCTTAAGAAAAGATGATCAATGTTATAATATTACACTGTTCAAAAACTATTCCTACCGTCTGGACAATGCTACTTGGGTGTCATGAGGCGTTTGCGTGATTCGATCTGCAAAAAACACGACCAGATTTATGAGAAAACAAATCGTGGATTTTACACCACGATAATGCACTGACTCACACTTGAATGCTCGTTTGCGACATTTTGGTCGCAAACGTGACTAATATCAGCCCACAATCACCGTATTCACCTAACCAAGCACCGCGTAACATTTTCCTGTTTTCCAGACTGAAATTTCCAACTACGGGGACACCGTTTTGAGTCAGTTCAGGTTGTAAAATTTGCTAAATGAGCCAAAAGCCGTCTTAGAAATTGGGTACCAACGATGCTACGAAGATTGGAAAAACAGTTGGCAGAAGTGTATTGCAAGTATAATGGGGATTATTTTGAAGAAGCGAGAGTCGGGAATTAGTAGCGCAGGCGAAGTACGGTAATATAGAGAGGTGGGGCAGGCACTGGGAGAACCAAGAAGGAAGAAAATGCGATTTCTGCGGAGACAGATTCGGAACGTTGGAAGATGTTCCAAGAGATTGCAGGGAAACAGATAGAGGAGTTAGAATAGAGGACGTAGTGAGCGTACGAAAGGATAAAAGGACAGAAGATTGGCTGAGAAAATTGAAAAAAGAAAAGGAAGGAGAAAATAGAAAGGAGTGCAATAGGGTAATTAGAAATAGACAGAAAACAGTAAATATAATAAGAAGGATAATAATAAAAAAATAAGTTAATTAAGTTAAGTTAGTGGAATAAGAGAAAAAGGAATGAATGAAGTAAATTAGCAATATATAGTTGAAATGAATGTAAAACCAAGTCCAAATGTCTTCGTTGTGAAGCCGAAATGAAGAATAAAGTAGTACAGCCACGCATTACGGCGACCCTTTGTATCATAAACAGACAGCCGCTATAGAGCAATTCCACGTCAGAACGCACAAGACTTACAGTTATAGCCATCGTTTCTTGTTTTTCAAATTCACAGCATATTGATAGTCTCGAGAAACAAAATTATGTAAAATTTCAGTTCTCTATTTTAAATGGTTTTCAAGTTATTCAATGTTAAAATTTTTGGAAAAATTAATGTCACCGTTACAGTAAAAGTATTTCGGCTCAGTTTAAACGCAATATTTTGTTAAGAGCTTTGCCACTATGGGCTTTTCCGCATCTTACCGTAGACAGTATGGAGTATTGTCTGGCAAAGCAATCTGAAGGCTTCTGACGTCATTGCCTGACCAAATAAGTGGAAAATAGGCGGTCAGACCATCCCCGCTACTCTTCGATCTTACACTGCCGCCGCTTGAAGGGAAGTTGCGATGTAGGTAAATGGTATAGACTGAATTCGAGATATTTTAGAATATTTTCGAGATCGGAGTAAGTGGTAAAGTCAACCATTTCGCAGACTTTCGAAATTTTGTCGGAATCAGCAAGTAGTAAAGTCAACCATTTCTCAAACGCTCGAAATTTGTCCAGAATCGGCTAGTAGTGTTAGTCAACCACTTGTCAGACATCGTACAATTCTCTAAGTCCAGAGGGATTCCGAAAATCGAGCGAAAAACTTCGAAAATTGCAAGAAAATAGCTTCGAAAATGTAGTAAAGCAGCTTAATTTATTACTTTATTAAAGTTTCTGTTTTATTTTTAAGCACTTTGATTGAAGAATAATTAGAATTTCTTGTTTAATAGCAGTTTAAATTTTTGTTTAAATGTATTTTACAAAAGGTTACAATATACCAGTATTGTTTTACAACATTTTACAGCCTATTTATTTATTTCTTACACGCCACATCCATTTCCTTTTGCAAAACACTCACTCTTTAAACATTATTTCACTATAAAATTAAATAAACTAAGTCCGGATAGCGTTAGGAACGTGTTACCGTAACAATTTATCGTGTATGTATCATTTAGAAATTAACGTCCGTACTATTAAATGTTTGTCTTACACGTTAACGTAGATAAGAGGATAAGACGATTAAATAATCTTCAGTTTTCTGTTCTTTTATCAACGTGCTACATTATCGACAGCTGATTGAAAATCATTTGTCTAAACCATTTACTTACCTACACCGTGATTTCCCCTCAAACGGCGGCAATGTAAAATCGAAGAGTAGTGGGGATGGCCTAACCGCCTATTTTCCGTTGGTCTGGTCAGGTAATGACGTCAGAAGCCTCTAGTTTGCTTTGCCGAACAGTAGCTGGGTACATATTGACTGGGCCTTGCCCAAAGACCGTTCTATTTCGATCCGCAGTAGAGCGAAGTGGTTGGGTGTTCGTTTGAGGAGATTTAACGTACGGTACCCAGCTATCACGCTCTAACTCATATGACGTGTCTGGGTATGACATTGAGCCCAATGAACACGACCACTGAACCCAGATAGCCTACCTATGCGACGGGGAGTTATGAGGACCCCCTAGCAGTTCTCCAGTCGAGTTTCGGCATGCTTCAATAGAGTTTTGCAAGTAGACAGGTTAATGTCGTTCTACGATTCATGTTGGATTTTTATTGTAAAATGTTCGCAAAATTATGTTGGTCCATCTGACAGTTTCTACTACCAGGTAAATTTTCTACTACTAGGTATTTTTACGCTTGACGCGGTACTGACTAACAATGAGCTGTTGCGCTACTGTCTGGCCTAGGCCAGCTCACAAAAATTGCCTCCTTTAAAAGCAATAATTAACGACGCCTCGGATGCAATTTCATTTTTTACTTCAGTCATAGAATGGCTTCAAGAATACCTCCCCCCCCATTTTGTACCAAAAGTATAATTGAACCCCTTGTGTATGTTTCAAACATACTCTTCATATACACTATAATATTGTACAAGTCTTAAAATGCGTAACAAATTGAGAATAATCAAAGTGTATATACAGTTTTATTTAGAAAAATAAAATTAGCATTGAAATCTCTGTAACTAACAACTTTGCAAAAGATTTAAGTATTCTATTATCAGATCAAACAACTTTTATGTAAATAATTTTTCCGTACTTTCAAAAGCTAGAAAAATAGTATACATAATACACAAATAAAGTATTTAAATTTACTTATTTAAGTACTTATATTTATTAATCGGCTATAATCATCAATATGTGTTCACAAGTATTGCACAACGAAATTGGTTATAATTTCATAAATAACGAGTTTATTTCTAAATCATTTTTTATTTTATTATATACGATTTTCTCGGATGCAGCTATTACTTTATACTTCCACAAGAAGAAAGTTACCGTTTTCCGACCACATAGTACTCCCACTACTACCGTTTGAAGGAACAAGAAAGTAAGAACAACGTTACCTTGAATGGCTTCCGTTCATTTTAATTTAATATGGTTTAGATCGCAAGTTATTATCAAAATACAAATTAAAACAGAAATTAATATAAAAAAATGTTTTAAA